ACCAGAGTTGCAGGTGGTGGGGCTTCTGTGGGTCATTGATAGACAGGCTCCATTACACACACACACACACACACACACACACACACACACACACCGGATTCCCTAAACATAGCATCATTTCAAGGCAATTTTTTTTTGGAGGGGGGAAATGAGAGGTGCCAGTTTCCAACTTTTTAGGTGCTGGGAACCTGCCTCCCTGTGATTCTGTAATTCTCTTGCTTTTCAACCCCTCAATATTTTTTGGAAGTCATCTGTTCTGCCCTCCACAGCAAAATTCACTGAAAACAAAATTGATTCCATCCTCGACTGCTTCATCCATTCTTCTTGCCACCACCAGCTTCTTAATAAGGTATCACAGAATCAATTGATTCACTGCCCACCCAAATGTTCATTTTATCAAAATTAATAACAGAAGCAATTTACATCCCCTACCAAAGCTAAAAAATCAGTGACATGCTTCCCATGCCCACCCCCTTACGTTCTCCCTCTTTCCCCTTCACCAAAGGCTCAGAGAGGCATATGGTGATTGGCTCAAATTGCTGTTCTAAGCTGCTCTCCTGGCAAAGTGAAGAGAAACAGTGGGAAGGCCAGCTTTGTTTTGCATATGGAAAGTATGTTGCTAGAGTGGCAGAGAGTGCAACCACACACACACACACACATACACACAAACACACAAACACACACATACAGCATGTAGGAAGAGAACAAGTTTTCCCGATCCAAAAGCTATAGTATGGTGGAAGAGGTGCAGGCTGAGAATTTGGGGCTTGGGCTTTGGAGCTGCAAGCTGAAGAATGGAGCAGCCCAAAGCAAACACTATGATTCTATGATTCTATGAAAGTAAAAATTCACCAACCTGATGCCCTCCTGGAGTTTGCAGTTTAATGTGGAACTACTGAATTTCTCCCATTCCTACATATAAGTTGTCGTAACATGAAGTAGTATCAGAATCCTAGTCTTCAGTCTCTGCAATAAACAACCAACCAAACAAACAAAAACATAACGTTGAGTTTGTAGTGTCATTTTACATAATCTTAAAACATTAATGGTCAATGTAGGCTCTCAACATATATGTTTGCGAAATTGGTGGGAGAGATTTGCTATTAAATTTTAAATAGCAAACTTTATTTAATTTTTTTTTTAAAGAATCCCAGTCTTCTAGGAAAAAGCAACAGCAGCCTTTCCTCCCAAATGCTTAAAAACCACCAATGTGCATGTGTGAATGCATTATATTTATTGATTCGAAATGTATCCCACCTTTTGATCCCAGTCTTCAAAGTGACTTCACAATGACAAATACGTTATATAACAAATCCTTTACTTAAAAAATTAAAACCATGGCGGAAATGGATCCACATGGAAAGATTGTTAGGCAGGTGGGGTAGAGAGTGAAAGAGAAAAGGGGAACACACATGGGAAAACTGTGAACATGAGGAAGGGAAGCAACAAAATGGCCGACCAAGAAGTGTTCCATGAGTTGGAAGCAGATGGCTGCCTTTGTTTGTCTCCTGCTTCTCTTACACAGGCTGGCCAGTCTTGCATGGCTTCTGCAGATGACCCCCCGGGATCTTCACTTGCTTTCCTCCATCCCATCCTCCTTCTCCTGGTACTCCTGCTGAAGGCACAGAAATGTGGAATGCCATTATTCAGCCCTGTTGCTGGAAGACTAAAATAGCCAAAGGAAATAAGTCCCGCAATAAATGCTGCCGTTGTGTCCGAGCTGGTGATACCTGCCCAATGTTACTTTATCCAGGACATAACACCTACCATGGTGTCACACACGGACTAGCAATGTTACTGTTAATCAATCAGAAATCACATTATACATCTACTGTTAATAAAGGCATACTTCCAGCTAAGTCCTCGAGACAAGCAGGCATTCTGAGAGAGGAAATGGATGAAAAGTTTGCTATGAATTCAGCAGTCATTAATCTGGCTTCCCCTTTATTGCCCCTCGAATTCATCAGTCGTGTAGCTTTCATTCAGAAATGGGCCTGTAGGAGGAGGATTTTTATGTTTGCTACCTTCTCTTTAAAAATTATATTTGCTAAGGTTGATTAAAGAAACTGGACAAGAAGTACAGGATTAAGGGGTTATAAGGAGTGAGAACTGGGTAGTACCAGGTTGACAGTTTTTAATGTTTTCTTTACATATTTTGAATAAGAACATAACTTCTCCATGTAAAGCAATAAAGAATATACCGGTGTGTATATATATATATATATATATATATATATATATATCTATATATATATATATATCTATATATATCTATATCTATATCTCAGACCAACTATCCATGCAAAGGCATAGTGAACTAAGCAATTAGCTGCAGAGGGATTAGGTCACAAGCTAAGAACATAAAAGCTCTGCAACGTGCCTCTTGTGCAATTATACCTGGAAAACTATGCCCAGCTGAAGTGATGACAAGAGCACAGAGGATAAAGTCTATAAATACTTTCAGAGGTAAACATCAAGGAGGGAGGGAAACTGTCAAAACCAGTACAATCAGTCTTAGCAAGTCATGATAGGGAGGATTTTTCTTTTCTTTTTAAGAGCATGTTTTAAGCGAATATCACTAAAAAAAGTCACAAGCACGGTTCATATATGCCTGAGGCAGTGAGTGGCTATTGGAAAACCTTACCTCCATGGGCTGGTCCCATATCAACCTTGACAACATGAAAATCCCTGCCTCACAAATAACCCTGATCACATCGTTACATTTCATGCCACCATTGCCTTGGGTCACTGGTAATGAATGTTAATATGGGATTGGTGGAATCCATTATTATTATTATTATTATTATTATTATTATTATACCAACCTTTATCAGAAGATCCCATTTAAAACACATTACAGAACATCAATGATAAAAACATAATAAAAAGCATAATAAAAAGTATACTGGCAGACAGCCTAATAATAAAACAGTCATCATAATAACAATCTTCTCCCTGACACTTTCACAGGTCATAAATTATTTAATAGCCATAGACCTGGGTAAAGAGGAATGTTTTTGCCTGGTGCCTAAACACATGTAATGACGGTGCCAGGCAAGCCCCTCTGGGGAGAGCATTCTACAATTGGGGAACCACCACAGAAAAGGCCCATCTAATCTCTTCGGGATGGGGGACATCAAAAAGGTCCTCAGATGACAAGTGCAGAGTTCGGGTCAGTTTGTATGGGGAGAGGCGATCCTTAACGTGTTGAGGTTTTATAGGTCAACACCAGCACTTTGAATCCATTTTCACCAGAGTGGTGGTGGACTTCAGGTCCAAGGACCAAATTTACACCCACCCACCCTCCACCTCTCTATCTGACTGTCAGAACTCTCCATGGGCAATATCCCTCACTGGCTTGCTCCATACCTTCCTTGAGGTTTTTTACTCAGCTGGAATGTTTCCTAGAATTCTGATGACTCCTTTTGCTTGTCTAGGAGGAGCATAGAGACAGAAGGTGTGTGTGTGTATGTGTAAAAACTAGCCTCCAATAATATAGTCTACTGCATTGTACAGAACCACATAGTCACTTCCTATTGTTTACAACTGGACCTTGAGAGCGAATAATAATAACAATAAAAATAAATTTTATTTATATCCTGCCCTCCCCAGCCGAAGCCGGGCTCAGAGCGGCTAACAAAAGTAAAATGACAAAACATTATAAAATCATTTCATTTTAAAATTAATTCCAATCAACTTCCAATATTCAAGTTTGCTATTTATCAGTAGTCCACAGAGTTTCAAATGTAAAACAACAACACATGTTTTATTCCATACAATGAATGGAAAAGAAACTGAAAACTGCAAGAAAACCCATTAACTGTACATTTTTCAAGCTTAAGAATGTAAAGATCAGAACAAAATTCAAACAACCAGTACCCTTTAAGATGTCAGTAAGTACTAAGAAAAATATATCGGGTCTGATGGCACAAGATTACGCCTTGACGAGCATGTCCTCTCCGATCAGCTGATTGTATAAATAAACCATTCACTTTTTTGCATGCCTTATTTTGCTTTTCTGTGTTGCTATTTTTTAAAAATATTATTATTATGGCTAGGAGTCTCAAAAGCTAAAAGTGACCTATACCTCTAAGGGCATCTGGGAGGCCCCAAATACACAATGTAAGCACATATAATGTTTCTAGCTGCTCATGTGCAGGTGGTATAGTATCTGCACATTGGACAACAACACACATTTCTGAGGAATTTTATCATTCTGTGGTTCTTAATAATAATATAAATAATATATAGTGATTCAGAGTGTTTCGATTGCTTCAGTACATTATCCCAGTAAACCTTCCAGCAACCTTGTAAAGTAGGTCAGAGTTATTAACCCCATGCTGCAGATGTGTGTATTTGTGTGCAAGGGAAACCACAGCCTAAGGCCACCTAATGCATGTTACTGGTTGGGTTTTTATTTATTATTGCAAAATTATTAAAGGGAAAAGGGGGGAACCCAAAAGTATGGAAAACAAACACACAACAACAACAGAACAAAACAAAACAAAACAAAACAAAGCCACCAGTTCACAGTCACAATGCAAGAAACATCCTTCTTAATTTAGAGATACAGATATGCCTTCCAAAAGTCCACGTAGCTATCCAAATGAAGTTGATGCTTATAGAAAGTATGCTCAGATGTGGCAAGGGCAATGATGCCTTCAGACCATTGCATAATAGATGGTGAGAATTTATCCTCCCAGGCTTCAAGTATAAGTTTCTAATAAAAATCCATTTTTGTTGCTCTGTCCCCATACTACAGGTGTGCCATTTAAAAGTACGTGACTGTCCATGAATATAGGAATTTGCCAAGACAAGATTAATACAGACAACAACTTCAGACCAAAGAGCAGATTATCATAAGGACAAGTGTCAAGGAGGCATTTCACCTCCAGCATATATCTGAGTTAAACAACACCTTATTGTAGAGAATCATGGAATAGGCTTGGAAGGGACCCCAAGAGTCATCTAGTTCAACCCCCGGCAATGCAGGAATCTTTTGCCCAATGTGGGGCTCAAACCCATGATCTTGAAATCAAGTGTCTCATGTTCTACCAACTGAGCTGTCTCAGCTGTCACCTCCACAGAAGACATTGTCGAGTCCAACATACCCAAAATATCATATATCTTTTTTTGCTGAATCAATCTCAGATTTAAATCTAAATGAATATCATGTGTGGATCCTAAAGCATTTCTCCATGGTTTAAGTTACTTAGCTTGTACATTCTAACTCCCAATTTCAGCTGTTGGCGAGAGATGAACCAAGGACTTCCCTGCTGTCCAGTTACTGCGCTTACAGAATACTAGCTCTCCGCCTGGGTCTGGCTTAAATTCAGGACGTTTCCCTTTCCCTGAGGAAATCAGTCTACTGACTGTATTGGGGGCATTAAGTGGGTGCTTTGGCAGATGGAGAAGGACAGCTGCTCAGTGCTAGAGCCCTTGCTTTGCATGTAGAAGGTTCCAGATTCAACCCCCAGGTAGGACTGGGAGAGTTGCCTGTCAGTGTAGACAATACTGAGTTGGATGAACTAATGGCCTGACTTGGTGTAAGACAGATTTTTGTGGCCGTCCTATTCTGCTTTCCCAGCCCCCACAGCTGCTCCTTTTACACTTGCTAGTCTTTCCACCCCAACCTCTCACCTCATAAACAAAGTGCCTCACTTTAGAGACACCTCCAGCAGCAGATACCTTCTCTCTCTCTCTCTTCAATGCTTCCAGTTATTGGCATTTATGGCGAGAGTTAATCTGAGGCGGCCACACTTGACTATGTGCTATTTCAAGTTACGGTCAATGCCAGCATAAGAAATTGAGACAGGCAGATTTTGAACTGGAGCTGAATACCATTTGCAGCCCCAATTAGCATCTTAATAAATGCTTCGTTATTGCAATCATGCCATTATTATGTTTTACAAACCTCTTGCGGATTGAATTTGTGTTTGTCCAACCATGAGACTTTTGTGCTACACAGAATAATGGTGAGGTTGAATTTTACATAGGTAGTCAGATGACACATACTCTTTCGTCTGTGACCCAGTAAAAGGGGCTAATGTTTTTAGCCAGTAGCTAATACAAAACCATAATTAATGTGATGGATTTATGTCTCCTGGATGTCACGTTAATGTAAAACCAAGGCTGTTTCTCTGACATAATGAAAACTCAATGATAGAGGGAGCCCCAGAAATGAATCCCTTTTGAGTTCTGCGAACACCTTTGAAAAGAATGTGTGTAAATATGAGAGAAAACAGTTTCAAATGAATGACAAAATTAATCAGTGCTACCTTTTGGTGTATTGAAAAATGTGAAGCACATGTCAAAACCAGTATCAATTCGTGGTTAATTATCCAAGTGTAAAGGAATATTGGAAAAAAATATTTCATGGTTGATAAATACATAGGCAGTTCAGCGAGCCTCTTCTTGTTTCTTGTCAGCCAATACAAAACGTATAAGGAATTCTTTCAGGGTAAGGAAATAATAGTTTCTATGATTGCAGTGGCCAGAAACGGATGTGCTACAAAGAGACAGGCGACAAAGTGAAATTCCAGGCAGATATGGGCGAAAATGTGGAAGATAACAGGTCATGTGTGAGGAAAGAGGGAAGACAAAAGACTGAGTTGGTTAAAAAGGTCGAGACCACGTTTGTCAGATTTCCTAAAAGAAAGTGGAGCCCAAAGTTGGACGTACTCTCCATTCATGGGGGCGGGGGGCGTTTGAGAGATTCGTAGTTGCACTACGATACGGTTGTGTTTTTTTTTGAAAGGGAGTGAGAAAATATGAACAGTGCGGAAGCGCATTCCTTTTGTTCAACAGGCTATGAAACGCGCAGACGCTCTTCTGAGGGAGAAATTCCTCAGCGTGAAGCGAAGCCCTTGTTCATGGTGTGTCGACCAAAACCCCCAAATCCTTAAGTGAACCCTGAACGGAAGCTTCTTTCTTTCTTTCTTTCTTTCTTTCTTTCTTCCCACCCTCTTTCTTTCTTCTTCAAACACTTCCCTCAGACCCCAAACGAAGCCCCGTGTGGAAAGCGCGCGCTACGGACGCGCCTCGACGGGGCTCGCTTTCCTCACCACACAATATACACACACGCGCAGTGTATGTGTGTGTGTCCGCGTGTGCGTGTAGGGGCGGTGGCCTGCCGCCTCCCAATCCCCACCCACCCTCCCGCCTCAGCCGGAGAATGACTTCACGCTCGCCGCCTCGCGCCTCTACTAATCCCGTCCCTTTCGGAAACCCTACAGTCATTCTTCCACACGGACTGTGGCGGCGGCGGCGGCGGCGGCGAGGAGGAGGAGGACCCAGACAGACAAGACAGACGAGCTCTCCCTCGGCGCGCGCACTCCCAACTCTCGCCCAGCGACGCGTCGGAGAAAGGCGAAGGGGTGCCCAAGTTATGCTTTCGCCGCCAATGGGGGAGCGCGTCGCGCCTCACGTGACGATGCTTAGACCCCCCCTCCCCTCCCCACCCCACCCCGCCTGCCCGCCCGCCCACCTCCAACAATCACCATCACCCTGTCTCTTCACACGGGCGCTATTTAGTTCTTCAATTCAGGTCGGCCAGCTCGCGCCGGCGGTGGGATGTCTCTGCGCGCGCCAAAGGGGAGCGCCCCGTTCGAGGCGGCGGCGGCGGCGGCAGCGGCAGCTGCTGGACAAGGGAGACTTTCCCACCACCGCCCTCCTTTCCGTTTCTTCTTCTTCGGCCCGGCCCGACACAGCCCCTGCCCCGGCCCCCCACGCATCCAACCCCTGGGAATTCTGCATCTTTGGTATGCTTCTCACGCCGCGTCCAGCTCGCCGACGACGCCGGAGGGACTTCGCCTCAGCGGGAAACGGTGAGTCCCGTCCCTCGTCGCCCCCCCCCCCATCCCCTTCTTTCTTCTCTGAGCGGCGGCTTCGGTCCCGGGCATGTGTCAAAAAACGCTTCCCCTCACTCGGCGGACCCGCCGTTGGCGCGCAGGTGGGGGCATTCCTGAGGAGAAGACTTTGCGGGGGTGGGGGGAAGAGAGGGTCGCCTGCCGATATTCCGAGAAGCCCTCAACTTCTTTTTATATATATATAAAATGTGCAGAGTTATTCCCTCAGGGCAAAAGTCTGCGAAGCCACGCCGCTGCTTATCACAGACAGTGTCCTGCTTTGTTCGTGAGGGAAAACGAGGAGGGGGAAGGTGGGGTGGCTGGCTGGCTGGGGGGGGGGGGGAACGGCGGCGACGAGGAAAGAGGGTCTGAGGGGGGGGGGGGACGGACGACGAGGACGCTCGGCTCCTTATTGATTTTCCGCGTCTTCCTTTCTCGGGGGGTCTTGAGTGAGGTGCGGCGCTCCGGGTGGGGCGTCGGGGAAGCGAGGGACAAACTTTGCCAAGTCAGCTGGCGAGGGGAGGACGCGCCACACTTTGCAGGCATCTGACAGTTATGATAATGAGGCCGCCCGGAGACACTTCGGGGACAAAACGCCTCGCAGGTTCTTCTGGACAAGGTTCTGTGGGGCAAGAGACCCCCCCACTCCACTCTCACCCCCCCCTCTTTCGAGTAGGATGTCTGTCTGTCTGTCTGTCTGTCTGTCTTTCTTTCCTGACATATAAATAAATAAATCTCTTTCCAGCGATTTATTTATTTCTTTGCCTGCCTAGGATAATTTAATTGCACCTAGGGCAGAGAGGTTGCTTCCCCCCCCCCAAAAGAAACCCCAACAGACATAGACACGCATTGGAATTCTCTCGCCTTTGATTTTGAATTTGCTTGAATTCCCAATGGGCTTGGGAGAAGAAGAAGGAAGAAGAAGAAGAAGAAGAGAAGAAAAAGGAAAGCGGTATGGGACTCTCTTCATAGCACAAGATCAGAGGGAAGAGAAGACAAGGCGATCAGAAGACATTCATAATAAGGAGTCTTTCCCTGGTGCTTTTTACACACACACACACACACACACACACACCACGAGAGATTCAAGTTGCTTTTGCTGCGTGAGATTTACAAGTTCTCAAGCAGGAGCAACAGACAAAGCATAAGGGGGTGTAGTTTCTACTCCTTATTCTTCTGCTTCTCCTTCTTTGCCCCCCTTTTCTCCCCTCCTCCCGAGAAGGGGGAAAAATGAATTCAAGAGTCTCGGAGTATAGCAAGGCACTTTGATTTACAGCTTATGCTCGCATAAAGAATTCTCACCAGGCACTAAAGAGTAGAAAAATGCGACCCTTTATGAGAAAGTTGCATTCTGAAACTAGCTTCACAGGGGAGCGGTTTGGGACGGAGGGGAGGGGAGGAGGGGAGGGCGAACAGGACAATAGAAATCTGATTCAGACCCAGCTAAGCAGGGTCTGTAAGAAAGTGCAGAGCAAAACCTAACACAGAGAGAGACATGCAAACTGTTTCTTGGTTCACCCACAGTGAAACAAAACAACGCCCCTTGAAATATGAATTTCAATTAAAATGAGAAAATGGTTTAGTGAGACTCCAGACGTTCCTAATTACATCTGGAAATAAATATTCGCGGGCAGAGCCTACGCTTGCTGTGGTTTGTTGGGAAAGGAACCCAAGGAATGCGTTTTCTAAAAGGAGGACTCGGCGTGAAAATATCTCATAACCTTTTTTAAACACACACACAAAGCAACACTCTTTATTTTTTCCTCTTCTTTGTCTGCCGTACTGTTATCTACACCTCCCCCAACCACCGCCCACTGTGAGCTGAGACACCTGAAGGCCAGACATAATGATCAACAGAGCGCTTTACTCCAGCCTGTCTGGATTCCAGCCAGGTCCCCCCCCTTTCCCCATTCTCCAATCAAGGAGCCTGCACGCAATGCACGCCAGGCTTATTCTTCAACTGCATGCAGAAGAAGGGTGGGAGTCTTGCTCCTCACACCATGGCAAGACCCAAGCAAACAATATCCCCTTTCTCTAGCCAGGCGAGGACCCGTTTTGACACGTATTTTCTCTCTGTCCCTCGCAATGCATTTGCAAGCACCACTATCTGCTCCTCACTGCAGTTTTGTCAAGCTCAGAGTTTACTTTAGCGTTCATGTGCTGTGCATTTCATATACTATGACAGTTATGTGACAGTTCCCACAGGTATTATTTTTAGAAAGTGTG